TAGTTTTCTCCATTTAACTACATGAACAATATCTGCTATCTTATCTTGTTGTAACTTCCATTTATATGTGCTAAGCTTAGTATTATAACCATATTTAGTCTAGGGATTATGCAATCACGTTTAAACCCTCCTTTGCCTCATAAACCCTTGATAGCTCTAGTCTAACTTCACCCTATCTTTCAATTGCTCAGATTTATTAATGGTGGTTTCATACTCCAATATACTCATGCGCACACGCATCCACGCACATACAAGCATTTCGATTTACATGAAAACGAAGCAATTAAATAATTCAGCAACTATTCTTTTCTGTTCGTGTTAATTTGATGTTTTGAGTTTATTCGACAGGCACTGTAGCATCTTCTTGTAGTCTTTATGACTGTGTGTTAGCTCAAAGTATATATAAGACTGAGGTCCAGTACTTACGATGTCTGTCAAGTGGCCTGACCGATGATAGCTCATGAGGGAAGGCCTAACGTTGACCTCATCAGCCTTAACTCCAAAGCAAACTCGAGCAAATATATCGCAACTCGAAGTAACAACTCTGCTGGTGAGTTCGAAATTCGAATCTCTACATTAAACAAATGTTCACACAAAATGAAATCACCAAAGTATTGTTATCTCAGGAGAACAGTTAGACTTCGTATTTTAGCTATATGGTTCACCATGCTACCATGGGATGCCGAAACTGTGTCAATGCGAACTGCCACTCAAGAAATGCCAATCCATCGGATCAATGAGTAAAATACTAAATTGGATACTTATCAGGGTAGGGGATAAATTTTGAGTAATCTTACCCATTATCGCTGCTGTTGTAAATAACCAAAGCAATAATCGATCCAGGACCAGTGCTATATACTTCCATTCATTACGCATCTGAAAAAGAAAACAAAGTAATTATGTTGATTACTTCAGCTAGCGGCTGGCCCAGCCTAGGCCAGACACTGGAATAGATACTGGCGAGAAAGTTTCTTCAAATTACCACTACGTATTATGACATCACGTAATATTTTCTCCCAATTCGCTCTTAGTAGAATGCTTCTTTCTTTATTTCATGTGAGTTTCTAGAATTTCCCTTGTTCGCAAATAACTATTTAAGCGTCGTTATTGTTCAAAATGAGAAGGCTTTTCAGTAAAGTATCATTGTGCAAAAATAGTCTGACTGAAGCTGATTATCTTACTTGATGTTAAGCAAGCTTTTAAAGGGGGAAATTTGGTGTAGAAAGAACGAATCAAAGATGAATGCCATTTTGTTATATTTACATCAAACTTATTTTATAGAAAATTAATAGACTTTACTCAAAGCTATTTTTTGATTGGCAAGAATTGCATCCATGAGCTACGGATTCTTTCCATTATCCTCTGTAAACGAAATGCAAGATACGCCAACATCAGTGTATTAAGGGCTTCTTCGAAACTCGGTTTTTTTTTCATACCAGTGAGTGGCATAATTTCCCCAAATGAACCTGTTAAGACCAAAAACGTTCCGGCATGCATTATTGACTTGGATAATAGATAATGAATATTTTTGTAATGCCAACCGTAGAAACAAATAAAATTAGCAATGAAGGGTCTGACTTAACTTTAAATCCGGTGACCCCTAAATCTGATTTCTCATATTTCACATACTTTGACCTTTTCTGAAAACAGTATAATTAAGAAATTGATTTCAGAAATTCTTATCAAAAGTAGTTCTCCTCATAAGTCATAGTGAATGAAAGTCTACAAGCTGACAGGTAGTATAGTTAGGAAAAATAAAAGTTTAGAAATGATGACCAAGATATTGTGGTCTTTGGTTTGGCCACATTCTTCTTCCACTATATCTAGTTAGTTTGAATAGGTTAGAGCCACTTTGTCGTGTTTCAGTGGTAAATTTAATGTATATTAACTATTGAAAATTTGCCGAAAAGCTGCTCTCCCTTCTAACCAAAATGCATATTTTTACGATTCTAAATAAAGATGAACACTTTCATAGATTATAGATATACATGATGAAAAGTTCAACCAAATAAATTGTTTGGGAATATACTGCATTAATTGCAAGCACTGTGTACAAAAGAAAATGAGAGAGACCGAAGCTAAATCACTGTGGAGAATGAAGGAATATTAGCGATTCAGAAGAAGCATAAAAACGAAAAAAATTTAAACGACAGTATACAGTATCAGCCAAATACAAAATTAACTGGTAGGCAATTGGAAGTTTAGACTTACACGATAAAAATATCTATAAATTAAAGATTCGGTAGGTCGCTGGGATCATTTTAGAACGAAACCTAATGAACAGTAAGTGAATACCTATGTATGGAAGAATCGGCTATAGTTTAGCTTACTTTTAGGCATGGAGTCAGCAAGGCCAGGAAACATGGGTGACCTATATCAAAGACATAACTTGGTAAATTGATGTAATGATTGGAATGAAATATAGTGTTATGTTCAATATTGGGATTTGTGATCCAAAGTACACACATCCGTTTAATTAAGGAAAGTGGTGCTCCTGATTAGGTTAGACCAAAATGATAATGAGACTGATAATGAAACAATGATAAACAAAGCAGAAATTATTGAGTAAGTCAATAGGTTTCTCCTCTAGCTCCTACAAAGGCAACTAGACCAAGAACCCCAGGAAATGTGAAGTAATGTAGGAGGATGAAGGGGAGGGGAGAGAAGAGGATAACTGGCAAATCAGGATTCTGCAGGTGAGGAACCTAAAAAGCGAGACAAATATGAGAATCACAGTTTTGAAAGCCATTCCTGGTGAGGCCATCTTAGATGCTGTAATATGAGTTCGAGGCCAGTCATGTGAATAAATCCTCAAGTATGACGGATGAGAGGGCTAGAATCGTGTGCTTGGAATAAGCTGGTTGGATAACAAATAGGCTTTTTTGGAAGGAGAGACAAGCTGAGAGAAGTTTTGAGAAGTAGCTTGCCGAATGTATGTACTAATGGAAGCAGGAAGCCCTGCAGACGAGATGTGAAACCGGAAGTGAAGGGTATGATGCCTTACTAAAACTATCTTAAG